ATGGGCAAACATAAAATTGAAACAGGAGACGCCAGGCCGGTAAAACAAAAGATGCGGCGGATGTCCCCTAGCGATACTCAAGAGATCAACAGGCAGGTCGAGGAGATGCTGGCCAACGGCGTTTGCCGTCCGTCAGACTCGCCGTGGAGCAGTAGCGTCATTTTAGTGCGGAAACGAGACGGCACACAGCGGTTTGTAGTCGATTACAGACAGTTAAATAGTGTCACGAAAAAAGACGCGTACCCTCTCCCGAATGCAAAGGACCTCTTTGACAAGATGCATAACAGTAAGGTATTTTCTTTCATGGACTGCGCTAGTGCCTACTGGAGCATTGAAATGGACGAAAACGATCGCTACAAGACAGCGTTTTCCGTTCCGAGGGGCCAGTATGAGATGAACGTCATGGCTTTTGGACTATGTAATAGCCAGAGCACATACCAGAGAACGATCGACAGCATTTTGAAGGGCGTAGAAGCTACAGTAGCGTACATTGATGACGTCTGTTGTTACTCTTCTGACTTCGAACAGCAGCTTGTGGACTTGGAACAAACCCTGAAGCGCCTGCAGTCCGCCAACTTGCAGCTCCGAACAGATAAGTGTCGCTTCGGTTACGGAAGCGGCGCATTCCTGGGACACACCGTCTCGGCTGAAGGGTGTTCCCCTCTTCCCGAAAACGTTGAAGCTATTCAAGACTGTGCTAGACCGACCAGCAAGAAAGAGCTTCAGAGGTTCTTGGGCAGGGTTGTATACCAATCAAGTCGATTGAATTGATTGATTTGTTTCAACGCGTATTTTGAGTTGATTGGATTGAGTCGATTGACTTTTCGCGATGACTGGTTGACTGACTCGTTTGACTTTAGCGACTGTTTGACTGATTTGATTCCCGAAAATTAGAGTGACTCGTATGATTGAGTCGATTGAATGGAAAGTTCAAATGTTTTAGTTGACGAAAAATAATGACACCAATTGATGACATCAAAGATCACAAAACTACTCTGAAAACTGCTTGTCATCACAACTGCAATATGGGGTACATGGCCAAATAAAGAACAGGGCCTAAACATGAACAGCCAACTAAGCCAACTTTGACTTTCAACTGCAATAACTGCTCCAATCCTGGTGATAGAACTTGGCGATGCACCTACCTACCTTTCTGCACTCAGCAGGAAACGTTTTTTTTTTTAATCCAGATGATAAAGTGCAAGGCCCTATATACTAATAAAGTGTGATTAATTAATAATTCACATCTCCACATCTCATCAGAAACAACCCACTGAACTCTATAAATATCAGAAACCCCTACAAAAATAGCTGAAACAAAAGCGCCGTTTTCGTCTCACTAATTACGTTGTTTACGTACCTAATTAATAGCTAATTTGCTGCATTGTTTAATTTGCAGCAGAAAGTTTGTTGATCCTTTTCTCCTGAGAGCCTAAGCATAACATATTTAATATGTTTCATTTTCCTTAAAATATTTTACCGAATATTAGTAAGTGGTTTTATTTCAAATGAAATAATAATTAAAACGAAATTGGTGTTGTACAACCGATTTATTTTATGATGATCTACCATACTACATGATAATCAATGACGTCATCTTACCAAAAAATCAAAAGACGTAGAATAAGGATTTATAAAAGCTTAGCATACTTATTGGCAAAACGTTTTCTCGCACCGTGCCGTTTTCGCGTTTTAATTTTCCTTGTTCCTACTTCCTTTGTCCTTAACTTATCCTGTGGTTCCAGAGTCCCTGTCCTCTCCATTTCCTTTTAAATATATTTTTAATCCTCATCCCTATCCCCCAGTCCTAACAGTTTCAAATTGTATTGCAATAAAATGTTTTGAATTCTTTACATAGGTACCTAGCATTGACATGCCACGTCCAGAGTCGTGGACCGCTAAATACTTCAAATCTCTTCCTTCTTAATCTGACAACATCCCACGTCTCAAATGCACATGGTGTGGAAAGATTTTTCAGGCTGCCCGTCAGTCTCTGTCTAACCGAAACTGTCACATGCAGGTAAGATATTTATTTCTATTTCCCTATGGTTAATATGTTATTGATGCATATTATCCATTAAAATAGACATGGTGTAGGGTAAATGGCCAAATCACGAACACTGCCAAAATCCGAGCAGCCAAATTTCAACTGCAATATCTGATATTTAGTGTAAATGGAGTTGGAATATGGCCAAAATTAAATTGACAACTTTTAGGTGAAAGGTGGTGATTTGGGTTAAGGGGCGAGTCAACTACTGGGTTATTTTGCACCCATTAAATGAAACTTCTGCTCCAATTCTACCCATTGAACCTCAATATCATGATCCACCTGTCCATCACTAGGTATCCTTCCTAATCACATAGAAACTTTGAATGGCATGGCAATTTATAATTTTAATTTTTAAATGACAATATTTTTATCTTTCTTCTGTAGGTAGGTAGGTAGGTAGGTAGGTAGGTAGGTACATCAGACTGCTATGGACACTTTTCCAAGTTGGTGGGGCAAAAAACCTAATGTATGTCTTGGTTTGAGTCGTTTGATTGAGTCGATTGATTCCTTTCATTGTCGCGTTTGAGTCGATTGAATTAATTCCCGAAAACTGCTCTGACTTGATTGACTTGATTGGTTTCCCAAATTTGTCGTGATTGAATTGATTGCTATTGATTGAGTCGTATACAACCCTGTTCTTGGGTATGTTGAACTACTACAGGTCATTCATACCCCGCATGGCTGAGATCGCCTCGCCGCTGTATGCGCTCACCGGCGCGAACGCACGCTGGTCATGGTCAGAAGAATGTGAGAAGAGTTTCTGCACTCTAAGGGACATCCTGACATCCGAAATGGTGCTGGCCTTCCCGCAGTGGGACAAGTCGTTTTTTATAGAGGTTGACGGGTCCGGGTCCGGTGTGGGAGCCATTCTCTCACAGGAAGACAGCTCGGGGAGACTTCGCCCGATCGCTTATTATTCATCTGGCCTCACCGCTACCCAGCGGAATTACTCGGCATCTGAGATCGAATGTTGGGCCCTGATATCCGCTACTAGGAAGTGGGAGGTATATGTGAGCGCAGCACCGGAGGTGATTCTCATAAGCGATCACAATCCGCTCACCTGGTTAAGACAACAGCGAGACCCACGCCGGAAGTTCGCGAGATGGATAGCCGAACTGGAATGTCTCAACTACACTGTGGTGTATCGCAAGGGCAAGGATCACGCTGCGCCTGACTTCCTCAGCAGGATCGACTCGGAGGTGGACAGGGTAGTGAACGATGATGTCGAACATTTTGAGAGACATGTTCATCCTGTTAGAGGTGCTAACACGCTCGACAGCATCAAAGCAGGACAGCAAGAGGACTCTAGCATAGCCTATGCCGCTCATCAGTTACGTACCGAAGGCAAAGTAACTAAGGGTCGATATAAATCTTATGGTGGCATGAGGCTGGAGAACGGCGTCCTAAAACGTAAGGGACAAATCGTGGTGCCAAACAGCATGCGTGGGACAGTTTTTGAAATGGAACACTCCGTGCACCATGCCGGTGTGCACAAAACATATTTGCTTATCCGGGAACACTATTTCTGGATTGGAATGTTTAAATACATACAAACCATGTGTAAGTGGTGCACTGTTTAACGCGTTATTATTATTTCTACGCTTCGTTCGAGCTCGCAAAGGCGTCGTTGTGATTATGGGTCTATGTATTGTGCAGTTCAACGATGCCTTTGGGTGAGGAAAAGCCCACAATACATAGCCGAAGATATGGGAACATACAAGGCATGAAGCATATACGCGGAGATTGAGCAGTTGCAACATAGTAGTGCATGCAACATGGATTACCCACTACGACGTGAAACAGTACAGTCGGTGGCGGCGGGGAGGTGGGTGGTGAAGAATGCGATGCCCGCGCTCGGTATCGGTCGCCCGCTCCCGCCGGTGCCGCGCGCACGAATGACCCGTGCCCGGGTCATGCAGACTTGACGAGCGGGCGGTATGACGCAATCACATAGGTGGCGCTAGCTCTCACCGCGAAGAAAAATCATTATCAGTTGGCTTATAATGATACATTTCTACGCTTCGTTCGAGCTCGCAAAGGCGTCGTTGTGATTATGGGTCTATGTATTGTGCAGTTCAACGATGCCTTTGGGTGAGGAAAAGCCCACTACCCCCACGAACCCGAGAACGATGCGTAGGCAGGGAAAACGTAATAAGATAATTCTAGGCAGATTCAAGCAAATAACGCATACGCATACAAGCCAAACAAAAACATTGCTACGCACCTGGCCAGCACAAACAGCCACATAACGCAGAAGACAGGCGGAAGAACGCGCCAGACACCGCTCGCATCAACACCTTGTCTGCACACAGCGATGCGAAACGAATTAGCTATACTGCGAATGATTGCAAGATTACATTTGCCGCTCACACGAAGGCCCTGACGAGTTACATTAGTGTACAGACGACGAATAATGAGATGCAAGCGGGGGAGATGTGCAGCGTAGGGAACATTCATGTTGCGAATGCCTGCCGGCGTAACTGGCACCAATTTCGGACCAGCGCACGGCTGAACGGTGTAGCGAAAAATCGGCCGGCGTAACTGGCACCAATCTCGGACCAGCGCACGGCTGAAACGGTGTATCGAAAAATTGGCCGGCGTAACTGGCACCAATCTTGGACCAGCGCACGGTTCAGCAAATGCAGCGAAAAGGTCGGCCGGCGTAACTGGCACCAATTTTTGGACCAGCGCACGGCTCAGCAATGCAACGAGAGGTCGGCCGGCGTAACTGGCACTAAGCTTGGACTAGCGCACGGCTGAGCAGTGCAACGAAAAATCAGCCGGCGAAACTAGCACCAATCTCAGACCAGCGCACAGCAGAACCACGAGAATCATTTACATTGCTCCGCTAACGAATTTTGGCACCACGACAGGCGCATAGCAGAGCAGAGACCAAAACGCGCCATACAACAAGGGAACGGGCGGAATAGTATCAGTGCGTCGTGACCTGGACCCTAAGGCACTGCAGGTGCCTGAGGAGTAGCTCGTAAAACAGAGACGTGACGTCGGACATATCGATGCATAGCCTGAGAGGACCAGCGTCCCGCCTGACTGAGTTGCACCTCAGTCATGCCGATAATAGCGCCATGCGACGCCCCGCCAATGCGTAGGCAATGGCCAGACAGATGGGCCCTAGACAGACCGGCTATTTGGCTTGTCTGCCGGAGGGCACGATTGAGCTGATTTCCAGTGATTGGACGGCGCCCATCACCGACGAAGAGAGCCTCATGCTGGTGCCCGGCCCCGCGCAGCAGCAAATAGGAGCGGACAGCAGCCACAGGACATTCCGGGAGGTCTGACCGCTCCTCCAACTGGAACGTGACCGGCGTCTGTGAGGTCTTGGACGAGGGAATGGTAATGAAAAGATGCCTGTGCTGCAACCGCACTCCACCCATCCGTAGGAAATGTTCCTGTCGGCCACAACGGACCACTTCGCCGGGTCGGAGAAGGGCAAAGAACGCCAGCGTGAAAATGGCATGGAACGCGGAACGTTCTAAAGGAGACATGGCGGCCTGCCGAAGAGCGTTACACAGCTGTCCCAGTTCTGGCAAGGTGATTGCAGTACGCATATCCCGGCTCGGCCGCAGGCGACGAGCACCTGTCAACATCTGTCTGATGCGAAAATTCGTTGAGGGGTCGGCTAAACCATGGACTTTGTGGCCATATGAAATAGCAGACACGACACTAGATAGAGTGGCAGCTGCAGATCCAGCATCGTATCGAGACGCGATGAAACAGGCCAGTTCATCGACACTGACTGGAAACAGGCTGTCCGAGGCCGACCGCCGAAGAAAATTCCGCAGCTCCGCCCAGATGGCGTGATAGGCCCGGGCCGTTGCAGGAGCCAGCGCCGCTGACAGGAGCGCTGCTATGGTTGACGGGGGACGTGGTCGGCCCAGTCCCAAGGCGTGGGCTGCTGATCCGCGAGAGGCCTGAGGCGTCTGAACACCTGAAGCAAGCCACGCGAAAAGGCGTCAGCTGCGAGATTAAGGGAACCAGGGGTGTGAATAGCGCGGACAAGAATGTTGTGCAAACATGTAGTGACAAAAAGTCTCCTCAGCCAGTGCATCAGTTCTGGTGAACGGGACGATTGAGAGGTGATGCACTCTACCACCGCTGCATTGTCGCAGCGAACGAGCACACAACGATTGCTGAGTCGTGTGCACCACACGGAGACGGCAATGACGACGGCAATCAGTTCTTTAACACAGATGTCAGCACTACTAAGCTGGTCAGGCCATTGGCCTGATAGCCACGCATTTCCACAGATGGCCCCAATACCCGTGCTTCCTGACGCATCAGTTTCGAGGCTGATTCCAGGCTCTCGATCCCAGCGCCTTGATTCCAGGAGAGATCGACCATGGAAGGACGTCAGCATGATCTGCCATGCCTGGAGATCCAGCCGGGCCGCCTTGGTGAGCGTCACACGGTGGTGTGGACGGAGCGCGCCTCGACAGAGATCGTACATTCGGCGAAGGAACACACGTCCAAGAGGTACAGCCATGCAGGCAAAGTTAAGAAGACCAAGGCAGGATTGAACCTCCCGTAGGGGAGCCTTTTTGCGCGTCAATAGCGAACTCACTCCTGCGATCGCACGCTGGAGCTTTTCAGGAGGCAAGCGCAGTTCTTGAGCGTCCACATCCAATTCTATGCCCAGGAATGTGAGGGCACGGCATGGCTCAACTGTTTTGTCAGCGCGCAGTGGAACATGGAGCTCTGTGCACATGCGTCGAAACGCATTCAGAGACGACAAGCATTCCTCATGACTTCCGTCAATAAATAGAAAATCATCTAGCACAGAAACCATCCGTCCGACAGAAAATTTGTTCTGAGCCATCCATATCAGGGAGTCGCTGAACGTCTGAAAAATTTTTGAGCTGCTCGAACATCCCATGGGCAGAGCCAGGTCAACATACGCGGAGCCGCGCCAGTGAAAACCCAGCATAGGGCAGTCCGCTGGGCGAATTGGAATGATGCGAAATGCACTGGCGATATCTGTCTTGGCCAAGTAAGGAAAATGCATGGTGGAAATCAACTTAACAGCATCGTCCACTGAGCCATAGTGAACTGATGTGAATTCTCTGGGGATGAAGTCATTGACAGATCCACCGGTTGGGAAGGAAAGGTGATGGATGACGCGATAAGTCCCCGGCGTCTTTTTCGGGATGAGCCCGATCGGGGAAAATCCATGAACAGTGTGGGTGAAAAGGACCGGCAATGCGACCCGCACGCCTCTCGGAATCGATGTATGCGTCGATTACTTCGGGCGCGAGATCGCATGAAGGTAGATTGGGCTGCATGCCACCCGAGGGCAGCCCCAAACAGCCGATTGAGAAGCCTCTTTCGAACCCGTCCACCAAATAGGATGCAAGAATTTCATCATAGCCAAGAAGGAGCTCACGAAGCACGGTAGGTGGCACGCTGACAGCGGGCACAATGCCAGTGGGTAGTCCGCTATTTCCTAGTAGCGGGGAGGGCGGCGTGCGGGGTGACCGGCCGCTGGCTGCGCATGGCGTTGCGCCGAGGGCAGCGGAGGGCGCTGTGGTTTCCGCGACAGAACCGACAGGAGTGGATGTAGCGGCAGCGGCCGCGCGTACATCCACCGGGGCGATTGAATGAGAGGCAGATGGGTTGAAAATTCCGCGCCCCCGAAGGCCCCGGGACCTGCCCCTTTGAGACGCTGGCGATGCCGCGGCCGATAGCGTTCAGCCAAATTGGCGAGTTTGCATCGGATTCGCCCCACTTGTACGCGTGTGGGAAGAGCTCGCGAGCGCGGCGAAACTGCTCGTCATATTCCCTCCAAGCGAACCCCATGCCGGGAGCTGAGAGGGAGCTGACTTGGCGCATGTGAGTGATGAGCCCGAGGGCATCCTCCGGATGGGCTTGCAGGTAAATACCTGCGTACCGAAGAAAAGCAACTGACCATGTTCCGAACGTCTGAATGACGCGTGTGGAACGTGCTGGCTGCAGACGACCATCAACGAGGTTGAAGGTGCCTTCAGGCGCTTGAGAGCGAGGATCAGAAGTGTCGAGCAATGAGCCAAGATCGACAAAACGGTGGCCTACAATGTTGTGCCTGGTAGTGGCTGTTACGTGAAAACTGATGTCTGAGGACACGCATGCCGCGGAGCCTGGGGAGTTACCTGGTTGTTCGTTTCCTCCAGAGCCCATTTGCGGCGGGAACACTGCGGTCGCCGGCTGCCTGAGGTCTAGCGGTGCCCCCGGCGACGTATGTTGAGACGTCGATGGGACGGAGACGGCCGCTGGCACAGCGGCTGCCACAGCAGCCTGAACCATCTCACCGATCATCTCGCTCAGCTGCTCCCTGCTGAACGTGACGGTGTCGGCAGGGGCAGCTGGTGCAGCTGGTGCACCGGACGAGTGTGGCTGGACACTCGTGGCCGTCATCATAGAGGTCCCGGCGTCCGCTGGCGCTGGGACAGGAGAACGTTGGGGCGTAGCCGCGACTGAGCTGCCTCTAGGCGCTGAGCGGCCCCTGGCGGCGCTCCTCGTGCGCCGGGGAGCGCCGCTGGATGGGGTGCGCTTGGTAGACCGGCTGCGGCGTGTCGGAGGTGACGCCTTCGGCATGTTGATGATATGAGCTCGTAGCAGACATGAAAAGAAAACAAAAATCATGCTCAATTTGTATGTTAACATAATGCACCACAACACATCGTACACAGGGGAACACACACTGCTCACTGTCGTGCTTAGGCGAGGGCGGCTAGGGACCCTACCAGGGCTCTCCATCCCATGTGCGAGGGGTGGACGCCATCCCGCCCCAGGAAGGCAGGGCCGGGGTTAAATGCTTGGAAGACAGTGGGCGCATGGCGGAACTTGGAGCGCAATATGTTATTTGTCAGGTGGCGCCGACGTCGGTAGGTAGCGCGGGAGACATCAGTGTCCCGCAGCTTCATACGGGGCATGACTGGATAAATGTGCACCATTTCTACGCCTGCAGCCAAAAAACCCGTGCAGAGCTCCTCCATTTGCTGCAGGAACTCGCGCTGCCGGAAGGCCCTGCTTGCGATGTCATTGCCGCCGAGGAGCAGGGCGACCTGTTTAGGCTGGCGCTGCAGGACTTGGTCAAGAGCCCAGCGGCGGAAACGCTCATCGCCGATGCGCGCGCCACGCCATCCGACGGCTTGAATGCCGGAAACGTCGACGCCTCGTGATTGTAGATGGGCAGCGTAGCTATGCCCCACTACGAGAAGCATCTGAAAATAGGGTGATATTAAGGGGAGAGGCACAACATTACCAATTAATTGTTAAAAGCGTGGTGTCATTGCGTAAACACGTAGCTAGAGGCCAAGGTATCGCGTATGCGGAACAGGGTAACGCGTCAGCGACAGCGTTGAATATGCACGGCCATAAGCAGGCGGTACCGGAGACGACCGGCTCACTGTCACGCTCGGCATTGAGACGACCATGCCACTGAGACAGTCTTAAATATATTATGCTTATGGTAGAAACAGGCTTTGATTCAGTAGCTTGTCATCGGCAAATACCGGAGAAGGTTTGGGCCAAGAAAACAGCTCTGTGCGGGGACGATTGATAGAGGCGTGATGCAAAACAAATTGCCAAGTGACCTGCCCTTACAAGGTGTGTGAAAGATAACTTCGAAATTGCAGCCCGCAATACCGGGGACGACCTAAGCATATAGGCGAGCTATGTACTGAGCCGACATGTCTTGAATTAATGCGATTTCAAGGGAGATTTCAGTTTATGAAAATGTGATATGATAAAGAGATTAAGCGCAAATTAAGCTATGTGCTTCTAGCGTGGTAGCTATACATGTTGTGTTATGGGAGACAGCTACACATGGCATAAATGCATTACCGGAGTCGACCGGAGCTTGAGCGCGCTCGGCTGAAACGCAGCACCAGAGACCATCCAGAGACGACCGGAGCCGAGACTAGCCCTGCGCTGAGGCGACAAACGCAGCCGTGATGCCTATAAGCGGCGAAAATTGCAAGAATGCTGCAGCATTTTGACTCAATCTGCCATTCAAAAAACGAAAGAAACCGCCATTGAGCAAATGAGACACAGTACGGTGCCAAGCAAAATATTAGTAGGAACGGGCCATTTGACCTGCGCAGTATGAGCTGGCGTACCGTAAACGGCTGCAGCATTTGCAAGCATTGCACCGAGGCGACGGTGCAAAAAAAAAAAAAAAAACATGTGCTACTGGCTCATGCCAGAAAACACAGCATCGAATGCGTCTGGCTGTTCTGTTTGCCGGAGACGACCGGAGACTAGTTCTGTATGGCGGTGCCGTTGCGATATACGCGAGAAAAATGTTGATGACGCGGCACCAGAGACGACCGGAGCAGAGACTAGCCCTGCGCTGAGGCGACAAACGCAGCCGTAATGCCTATAAGCGATATACACGAGAAAAATGTTGATGACTCGTAAAACCGTAGACGAACGGATTACGAGGAAAATGGTACACAGGCGGTGATGTAGCATGAGGCGTGTTTTACTAATTTTGGCACAGAAAAACGACCGGAGACGACCGGGCCGAAGCAATCTATGCACTGACGCATGAGCCCGTTGCTCACCCCTCGCTGAGGTCTGTGCGCCCGGGTCCGGTGACTGATGTTGCCCCATGCTCGAGTGAGGTCAGTAGGTCAATGCCCCGGGGGCCCAGAGGGCAGGTCGGCCGGCCTGGCGTCCGGGCCGCGCCGGCCAGGCACCAGATGCCGACAGTGCCCTGGGGCACGGGCAGCCGATGCGGCTATCGACCACGGCACAGGCGGGGACGGGAACCAATAGTCACATGCAGCTCAAGACCCAGTGTAAGTTCATTTGAACTAGCGCCGCAAGTGGTGATACCGACAAAATCTGAAAAAGCTACATCTGCACACACATGCTTCTCGACCGGAGAATAACGGGGGCCGAGCAATGTGTGCACACAGTACAGAGAGTTTAATTAGTAGGGTCGTATATGACGCGAAAAATCAAGCGGCCCTCAGAGCCGAGACCAGTGAAACGAATGCTCATGCAAATAGTTAATATGCGCAAAGAATAAATATGCGATGTCAAAAACTGATCGGCAACACGCTCACAGTATATCAGAATTAGTTTTCGTCAGGGCGAACTCAAAGCCGGCTCACCTCTGCAGTGCCAAATTGCCTGTGCTGCTGACGAACTGCGAATGCGATGCCCGCGCTCGGTATCGGTCGCCCGCTCCCGCCGGTGCCGCGCGCACGAATGACCCGTGCCCGGGTCATGCAGACTTGACGAGCGGGCGGTATGACGCAATCACATAGGTGGCGCTAGCTCTCACCGCGAAGAAAAATCATTATCAGTTGGCTTATAATGATACATTTAGTTGTCGCTTTCCTTTTGTCCGGCGGATGTGACGTCCTGCGCGACCTGTCACGTGACCGCCCGGCGCCGACCAATCGCGTGCCGTCCGGCCCTGAGCCGGCCGGGGGTCGGGGCGTGTCCGCGCAGGTGGGCTATTTCCGTGCCGACCGCTGTGAAGTGCACATGGTGATTGAGTGCGTCTGATCTCGAACGGACGCGGTTTGAAGGACGCGGTTTGAAGGACGCGGGCTTTGTTGGCCAGACTATGGTTGTAATAAATTAGAAGATGACCGACTGCTGTGTTGGCCCGCGTGCTCGAGAGCCGACGCCGACGTCGTCGCCCCGGCCCACGCTTACATTTGGTGGCAGCGGTGGGATCTGTTGAAGACAGCCGACAGCGCCTGCAACTATGGCAGCTACTGGTCTCTTCGAGCCACACGCCTGGGCGAAGCGACTGGACCGTCGACTCAGACTCGAGCCGTGGCGACTTCCGATGGCCTGCTTCATCTGCGTCGCCGTGGGCTGGCTCTCAGCTTCGCTGGCCTGCGCTGAGTTCCAGCACTCCGTGGCCTGCTGAGCCACCGACACCGCCAACGTGGAGCTACCAGCGTGGCCCTGAGCCACCTGTCTCCATCCGTCGCCGAAGACGCAGCCGCAGCCGCAGCCGCAGCTGCTGCTGACACCTGTTCGCCGCCCGCCGAGGACCGTCCGCTGCCGGCGCCCGGCGGCACAGCCTACCCTCCGGGGGCCGACTCGCCGCGACCGAGCGGGCCGGAGCTGGCGGAGTGCCAGGAGCCGCAGGCCGTGACCGGCCGTGACACCGTGCGGCTGGCAGACTGCCAAGGACCCCGCACGACGCCGAGCTGAGTGTGTGCTACACATCAGGTGACTGAATGAGGACTGCAACGATACCGTGAGTGTTACGTAGACTGATTTTTTTTTTATTCGTGAGTGTGACTGTAGCCGTTACGTTTAATTGATGCTTGGGTAACCTGTTTCATATTGTTAAAATTCCAATCGCTGTCCGCCTTGCCGTGTAGTTAGGTACTATGTTTTACTGATTCGTACTCAAAAAGGTGTTTGTTGATACGCAGTGTCGCTAATTGTGCATCCTTCTTTCCTTTTGTTCCGTCTTACATTTGATCATGGCTACCTCTCAGCCTTTCGCAGCTTCAGTTGGTTTGCCTACTTTTTCTGGCCCTTCTGGCTCGATTACGAGATTCATTCAGGATTTTGAAACGTTTTCACTCTTGCAAGGTTTTGATGCAACCAAACAAGCTTCACTTTTGCCGTTGTGTCTTTCCGGGGTAGCTAGGGACGCGTACGATTGTTTGCCGGAAGAGTCACGTAAAACTGTCAAAGCTGCCTTCATCGGCCTTCGTAAGGCTTTCCCCTCTCGTGGTGTCGTCGAGGCCCAGGTCCAGCTGAGGGCTGTGAAGTTTGATCAGAATGCTGACCTAGACTCCTTTGTGATTCGCCTCAGGGGCTTAGTCTCAGCCGCATTCCCCGATAGTGACGAGGAGGGACTTTTGTTCAATTACTTTCTGCAGTCACTCCCGATGACTTTCCAATCGAAGCTCGTCTCAGACGGTGTCACTACTTTTGAGGCTGCAGTCGCGTCGATTCGCAACATGTGCTGTGCAGCTCGACTTGCTGGTGCCCAGGCTGCACCAGTGAGACAGGTCTCCTCGGAGACAGAGGCTCTCCGCGACAGGGTAAAGGAGCTCGAGGGACAGCTAGCTCGCCTGCAGCGTCCCAGTAGACCGATGAGACAGGATAGGACGTGCTTTTGTTGTGGGAGGAAGGGACACGTCAGACGGGATTGTCGCCATAGGAACTCGGTGTGTTACCGCTGTGGTGGCAAGGGTCATCTGTCCTCTGTGTGTCAGATTGAGTCGGGAAACTCCCAGTGGGTCCCCGCCACCGTCCCGACGGTAGGACCCGCTCAACAGCAGGTCAGAGGGACGCCAGGCGTGCCTCAGGCGGTTCCGCCGCCCGCACCGGCCAGTCAGCTGACCGCGCTCAGTCGCGCGCCGCTCCCGAGCAGCGCTCCGGCGGCGAGTCTGTCTCTGCCTCGGTAGCTCCCGATAGAGTTGTACCTCTGAGGAACGACATGACTTTTGACGGTGTAGTTGGAGGGGTTAATTGTTCACTTTTGTTGGATACAGGAAGTTCAATTAATTTGCTTAGTAAGAGCGTTTTTGACGTTTTACCCCACCAGCCACCGCTCATGAAGACTTCAACGCAGGCTAAGACAGCAACCCAGGATCCCTTGCCTTTGCTGGGAAAAGTAAAGACTTCACTCAAGCTGGGAGGACAGACAACTGCAGTTTCGTTTTTCGTGACCGATAGCATTGACGTTCCCGTCTTGCTGGGATTGGAGTTTTTGTCAGCCTGTCCATGTGTCGTGGATGTTTCCAGGGGACAGCTCGTGATGACACCATCTCGGGTGGTGCGATCGGTGTCGGCTTCAGTTATTTCCGTAGGCCGAGTTATTTTACAGCACGATTTGTCCGTCCCTCCGGGTCATGAGCTGATCATTCCGGGATTCGTTCCAAATGTTGATTTCAGTGGTCCAGCGATGTTAGAGCCGTCTGCTGACATCGAGGGACTCGAGTTTGTGCCGTCCATGGTTACAGTGTCCGGTCAGGCCGTCCCTTGTGTCGTCCGGAATGTTTCCACTGAGCCAGTGACCATTCCGAAGCGTTTTGAGCTGGGACAACTCGAAGTGGGTGTAGCCGAGCATCCGCTTTATCCTGAGAGCCAATCCAAGTCGGACTGGCGAGCCGATTTAATTTCTCAGTTGTCCGGTGCCGATCTCAGTGAGCCTGAGAAGGAGCGAGTAATTTCTTTATTTTCAACTTACGAGGACATGATAGATGGTCATGTTGGATTTACTCCTCTGATTCAGCATCGTATCGATATGGTCGACGCCCCGCCTGTGAGATCATCTCCTCGCAGGATCCCTCCGTTTCAGCAGGATCAGGTGAAAGCTGAATTGGATCGTATGGTGAAAGCTGGAATTTTGGAGGAAAACTTCGGCAGTTGTTGGGGTTCACCGATTTGTGTGGTGACAAAGAAGGATGGTAGCATTCGCATTTGTGCCGATTTGCGTCGCGTTAATGCCCTTACCCGAATTCCGGCGTATGGGATTCCGCGTATTGATGTCATTTTGGATTCCCTCGGAGGTTGCTCTTTATTTTGTGTGCTGGATCTGAAGCAGTTCTTTTATCAGATCGGCATGAGCCCTGAAGACGCCGATAAGACTACTATCGTCACTCCGTTCGGCTCGTATCGTCACCGCCGTATGCCGCTAGGTATCAGCGGTGCGCCGATGACTTGTG